CCGGGCCGTTCTGAGCACTTTAACATGCGGAGCATTTAGGGTATCAGGGCCGTTCTGAGCACTTTAACATGCGGAGCATTTAGGGTATCAGGAATCTCTGTCCCAGCAGGTACTCAGTAGTCCTTAACCTTATCTGGGTTCTGATCCCCCCTAAAAACCTAGGGAAAAGTCACTCTGGGCTACGCACAGCTGTGTACACACCAGTGGGGCATGGAGTTCATACCAGAAGACCAGTCCAGTTCAGTGCAGACCCAGCTATTCATTCAGAAACCCAGCCCTGCTGAGGGACTCAGTCAGTCCCTGTGGGAATGCCCGAGGTTTTGCTGCACCCTGCAATCCTATGATTTTCAACCTGTGATTTTAAACTGGTTTCTGTTTGCTGTTTTCTCGACTTTCCCAAACTCAGACATTCTTCCCATTAGTTTTGAACTAGGTAATTAGTACTTTGCTGTTTCACAAACAGAAGTGTGTGTGTATGAAGGGGCCATGAGGGTGGGAATGGAATGATTCTCCTCCTAGTCCTGCCCCCTAGTCTTCTCCAAGGCATGAGACAAAGGGAAGACTGTAGAAGAGACGATAACAGAGTGGCATTCTAACACATGCCTGCCCGTGTGGGAGCACAGGAAGAGCCAGTGAGCTACTTCATGGCTCCAGCCTGCCGCCGAGCTGCCATGTTTGCAGAGAATAGCTGTAAACGTCCTCAGACCATGCCCTTCTCCTCAATGAGTCCTTTAAGCATTGCCAGGGCGGGAGGGTGTGTTCACCCTGCTCAGAACTCTGACGCCTGAGCTAGATTCTATCAGAGAGGCATTTTGCACTTCTGAAAGTACTACTTTCTTTAGTGTAAATAACCCCAATACATCTGAGAGAGAGCAGAAAAGATCAGCTGAGTTTGGTGAAAGGTGTGTTCTCCTTTCTCTTGTAGCTTTCAGTTTTTGAATTTAGGGGAAAATGAAACTTAAGGGAACTATACAGTAATCAAAGTCCATGCAGTTTTTAATTTGTTAAAGGCCGTTACAAAGCAGAGTTAATGGCCACCTCAGCTTTGCATAATGACTTTTAAAGCACACCTTTAACGTTACTGTGTGATTTGTGTTATATGAGAAACCCAAATTATAAATAAAGAGCAAAATAAAAGAGGATAGAAAGTAGGAAGACAGAGCTTTCTCAAGAGGGCAAGAAGATCAAGAGGTGGCCAGGGAGGGAAAGGAGATGACCTATGTGTTATGTACATGGCCCAACTCCACACAAGGCATGTAAACTCTAGGTACTGCAAACATTATGAATTTTGAGGGTTTTTTGGTACCGGGGATCTCGGGACTTTGCGCTTTTGAGGCAGGCGGTAGAATCACTGAGCTAAATCCCCGGCCCAACATTATGTACTTATAAAAAAATAAAAAATAAATAAATGTGACAGTTTTTTAAATGCGCTGCTTTAAGCATATCTTGAATGGATAATGTAATATAATACCTTGTTTTTAAAATTATAAAGTAAGATGGTTACATGTTTTACTAAAAAGATTCACCGTAAATCAATGTACATATCTAGGAGACAGGGAACTGCTGGTCTGTTCTGGTTTTTGAAAGCCTAATTTGTGAGAAATTTGTGTCATTTCTAAGTCACTACAGCCCACAAATGATTTTCTTAACATCTTCAAGTACATTTATTCCTTTCTTTCTTCTGCTTTGTATTGATTGTTTGGTTTTGTTTTTTGCGGTGCTGAGGATCAAACCCAGGACCACACATATGCTAGTCAGGTGCTGTATTGCTGAGCTGCACCTCTCGCCCCTGCATTTTCATTTTTGAAAATGAAGTAGTAACACCTCATTTCTAACTTGCCCGTGATTACTCTCCTTGCTTCCAGCCTACCCTCCTTCAGTGAGATTTATCATTCTCCGGGCACAGCTCTGCTGTCCTCATTGCCTATAAGTCAGTCACTCTTATCTGTGTATCTTTATGGGCTCCCACCTCCATCTGCCTACCTCTCTTTAATTTGGCAGGTGAGACCCCTCGTCAGACCTGGATCTTGGCTATGTCCTTCAACTGTTTTTAGTGAAAACACTGAGTTTAGTGCCCAAGTAAAGCCCAATTGTGCGTGGCCCTCACTCCCCATCCTGTGCATGGTCTCTGTATCTTTCCTTGGACCCTGAATCCAGATATGATATGAATCCATCTCAAGGACCTGGCTCAGTACCCAGCTTGTAAGAGATGCTCATTAAATAGCAGTGTCTTAGCTGGGTGTGACAGTTCACGCCTGTAATCCCAGCTACATGGCAGACTGAAGCAGAAAAATCACAAGTTAGAAGCCAGCCTGGGCTACGTAATGAGTTCAAGGTCAGCCCAAACTATGTAGTGAGATCCTGTCTCAAAAATACCAGGTAAATGTGGTGCATGTGCCACCAGATGGTAGAACACTTGCTCGATATGGGTGAGCCCTAGATTAGATTTCCAAGTTCTTTGTCACTGTGCTGCCTGTCAGAAAAGAAAGAAAAAAATCTGAGACTCGGATGAGAACAAGAACAGAATAATTCTTTGCCATTTGAATATAATGGACTTTAGCAGCCAGGCATGGTGGCTCACACCTGTAATCCTAGCAATTGGGAGGCTGAGGCAGGAGGATCCTTATGAGTTGGAGGCCAGCCTAGTGTACATAGTGAGACTTTGCCTCAAAAAACCCCTAAAAAACCCAGAAACTGACGTTAGCATATTTCTGTGGCACTAGACCAAATCCAGAGAGTAGCATATGCATGGTTGAGTTAATCTGGGGGCGGGGGGAGTATATTAGGTCATGGGGGGTGGCTCGGCATGGGGGTGTGGGGTGGAAGACAAAGCCATGCTCACTTCCTGGAATTGTTCCAGTTAAAGTCCCTGAAATCAAATGTTTATGAAATACTAATGCCTTACTGTTATTGTCAACCCTAGACAATTTGTTGAGCTGAGAAGTTGGTTATTTAAAATCATACACCTGCAAGGGACTTAGGAAATTTAATTGAGAATGCTGAAGCCAGAGAAATTACATTTTGAAAAGAAGCTGATGAAAGAAAAGGATCTAGAATTCTCTATCCTCACTCCCAAGTCCATTAAACCACCCACTATACTATGTTTTGCTTCATGATTTTTGTTTTAATTATAAAATTTGTTTTGTGCTGCTGGAGATTGAACCTAGAGCCTTCACATTGAGCTATATCCCTGGTCCTCTTAGACTGTGAGGCTGGGCTGTTCCGCACGCTCCCCCCTCCCCCCGTACGCCGCTCCGGTTGCACCGCGCTTGCTCAGAGCTCCCGGCTCCTCCTAAGCTAGCACGGCCAGCCGCGTCTCCCTTCAGCCACTACCATGATTATCTATCGGGACCTCATCAGCCACGATGAGATGTTCTCCGACATTTACAAGATCCAGGAGATCGCGGGCGGGCTGTGCCTGGAGGTGGAGGGCAAGATGGTCAGTAGAACAGAGGGTAACGTTGATGACTCTCTCATTGGTGGAAATGCCTCCGCTGAAGGCACGGAGGGCAAAGGTACTGAAAGCACAGTAGTCGCTGGTGCTGATATGGTCATGAACCATCACCTGCAGGAAACCAGCTTCACAGAAGAGGCCTACAAGAAGTACATCAAAGATTATATGAAATCAATCAAAGGCAAACTTAAGAACAAAGACCAGAAAGTAAAGCCTTTTATGACGGGCTGCAGAACAAATCAACCACATCCTTGCTAATTTCAAAAACTTATCAGTTCTTTATTGGTGCAAACATGAATCCAGATGACATGGGTGCTTTCCTGGACTACCGTGAGGATGGTGTGACCCCATTTGTGATTTTCTTTAAGGATGGTTTAGAAATGGAAAAATATTAATGGATTCCATGGTTACCTTGGATCTATCACTTGTTATAACTGGCTGCTGCTTGTCATCCACACGACACCGGGATTTTAGACAAATGGCACTGATGTCATCTTGAACGCTTCGTTTATTTTGACCATGGTTTATTTGAAGTGGAGGCAGTGTTTTTTAGGGGGAAAAAACCATGTCATGTAGGTTATCTAAAAATAAAGTGCATTTAAACTCATTTGAGAGAATGCCTCTTAGTTTGATACATGTATAAACTAAATCCATCGTAGTGTTCGTGGAGAAGATAGAGCCTGGTCACAGACCACTGCTGGAAAGTATAAGATTGTCCTCAGATAACTTCTGCAGTGGAAACTACTGGGACTGGAATATAAGACAAGAATCAAAGTTTTAATTCTGAGTGGCAGTGAAGGGGAAAAGACTATGCTCATAGCAGTGCCAACATTTGAAGTGGAGCCTTATACATTTCATCACCTACAGTGGAAGTAGTTAACCCTGGAAGAGATTACCAAAAGAATAAAAAGACTAACTCAGTTGGAAAAATAAAATAAAATACATTGTGAGACTGAGTCTCACTAAGTTGTCCAGGCTGGACCTGAACTGTTTTTTTTTTTGGTACCGGGCATCAAACTCGGGTCCTTGTGCAGCAGGCATCGAAACCACTGAGCTAAATCCCCGGCCCTGGACCTGAACTTTTGATCCTCTTGCCTCAGCCTCCAGAGTGCTGGGATTATAGGTGTGCCTCACCACACCCAGCTTTTTGCTTCATTTTATTTTGAAAGGTGTGATAAATGGGCCAGAAAGGAATTCAGTGTTGACTATCTGGTTTATGGAATGTGGATTCTTATGAAATCTATTGTGTTACCCTTAAAAATTAGAGCTTCCGGGGCTGAGGATGTAGCTCCGTGGTAGAGTGCTTGCCTACTATGTGCAAGGCCCTGGATTTAATCCCTAGCACTAACGAAAAAGCAAAAGTACATGGAAATAAAATAAAAATTAGAGCTTTGGACTAGGAGCATAGCTCAGTAGTGGAGCGTGTTCCTGTCGGTATTAGGGCTCAGCACTGCAAAAAATAATAAAAAATAAGGGCTAGAGTTTTTAAATAGTTGAAGTAATCTCCAACAACAATTTATCCTGTTGTTATTGCTTTTTCCCCTAGATTCCATGATGCTTTATTGCAGTTGCCTAAGTCTGAAAATTTCCTTGTCTGTGGATCTCAGAATTTGCTAAGAGATGGAAGAGCCTCAAAAAAATGACCTGAACATCGTGGGTCCAGAGAAAGAGGACCCTCTCGAAAGCACTAGCCCGCAGATTTCTGTCAGTGAATTCTCGTGCCACTGCTGTTACGATATCCTGGTTAACCCCACCACCCTGAACTGTGGGCACAGCTTTTGCCGGCACTGTCTAGCTTTGTGGTGGGTGTCGTCGAAGAAAACAGAGTGCCCAGAATGCAGAGAGAAATGGGAAGGCTTCCCCAAAGTCAACATTCTCCTCAGGTAAAGCTGGGTCAGAGCGGAAGCGCAGATGGCTTGTAAGGTGTGGTTTCTCTTACCGGGCGTAGCAGGTTTGTAAAGGCACCAGGCTCAGAGCTGGCCTCCTGGGGTAATCATTCTGGACCTGCTAGAATATGAGTCGAGAAGCTCAGGGCCTGAACATCCAGACTCCCTTGTCACAGGTGACCATAATTGGTTTATCATTTATTCCAAATGAAGGAGTGAAATTTTAAGTTCTGATTATCAGATTGTTACTTGTAATTCTATGGCATATAATACTTGTTATTTACTGAGAAACACTGTATGGTCTAATAGAGTGGTGAAACTCTACAATTATGAATAACTGATACGGATTTCTATACTGTTTTGTTTTTTTTTTTGGTACCGGGGATCAAACTTGGGTCCTTGCGCTTGCGCAGCAGGCGGCGAAACCACTGAGCTAAACCCCCGGCCCTTATACTGTTTATATAAACTTTGTCAATTAACACATTAATAATGTTTCTCATGCACAGCCAGTGGTAAGACCTTTCAGATAGGCGGTTCTTTTCTGCTTCCACTCAGTCATGCTACCCCGTGAGGCCTCTGAGGCTTAAATCCTTGTCCCTTTCCTGTGGCCTTTGCAGTGTGTCCAGCCTTCTTGATATCAACACAGTACCTGAACTTCTTGCAAAACCGTTAGCCCAGCCTTCCCTTTTTCACAAGAGATATGTTTATACTTCGTTCCTATCTGTCAGTTTTGCTTTTCCCAACTGGCTAATTTTAAATGGAAGGAGGGTTCTCTGGTTTTATGTCCTTGAAAATAGAAAGAGCCCTTCAGAATAACTTGAAGGTCAGTCTTTTCCCACTAAACTTTCCTTTTTTTTTTTGGTACCAGGGATCGAACTTGGGTCCTTGCACTTGCACAGCAGGCAGCGAAACCACTGAGCTAAATCCCTGCCCCTTTTTTCCTTTCTTATAAAACTAAGTTTTAATCGCTTCTTGGCATTTTGGCTAAGATCAAATGTATAAAACCAAGTTTTAATAATGTAACCAATACATATATTCACTCATTGTTTACATTTCTTTTAAAAAGATGAGAACATAGATAGCCTCTTTAATAAATGCTGCTGGGGGGAAAAAAAAAGATGAGAACATTGCTTACCAAGTGACAGACCCCTTCAACCCATTCTCCCCATCTTAGAATCATTCCTTACTTTTTCCCGCAATAATTTCAGTTACGACTCAGTTGAGTTAATGTAACTCAGTAATTTGTTATGACTTAGTTTCTTTTTAAATTTAAAAAAATACTTTTAAACATTTATGTGCCAATAGAACATGCAAATATCTTCTCTCGCAGTGTACTGTTTGTATCTGTGTGGTTCTGCAGTGTACAGTTCTCATTCAACAGTATGTGTGTCTTAAATTTATCCATATTGACATGTAGTAATCCATCCAGTAGATTTACTGATAAAACTACACAGTACTCCTCTTTTAAGAATATACTATACAAAAAAAAAAAAAAAGGAATATACCATACAGGGGCCGGGGATTTAGCTCAGTGGTCCCGGCACCTGCCTTGCAACTGCAAGATCCAGAGTTCAATCCCTGGTATCAAAAAAAAAAGAATATACCATATAGTTCAATCCCTGGTACCAAAAACAAAACAAAACAAAAAGAATAGACCATATTTCAGTTAGCTGTTTCCCTAATAGTGGATATGTAGATTATTTCTAAGTTTTTGCTTTTACCAACAGGACTATGGCAGATATTCTTGTCCATTCTCACAGGCACCTGTATATTATTAAGTACTGTATTGAGTATTAGTTTTATTTTGGCTTCTAAATGTTAACTGTCTTGTGATTTTTCTCTTCCTCACAGGGATGCTATTGAGAAGTTATTTCCTGATGCCATTAGAATGAGATTTGAAGACATTCAGCAGAATAATGACATAGTCCAAAGTCTTGCAGCCTTCCAAAAATATGGGAATGATCAGATTCCTTTAGCTCCCAACGCAGGCCGAGTGAATCAGCAGAGAGGAGGGGGCTTCTTTTCTGGAGTGCTCACAGCTTTAACTGGAGTGGCCGTAAGTCTCCATCTCCCTGGGCCCTGGCCCACCCCGGTCTCCATTGCAGTTAGTTCTCTTTTTTTTTTTTGGTACCGGGAATCGAACTCCGGTCCTTGCACTTGCGGGGCAGGCGGCAGAACCACTGAGCTAAATCCCCGGCCCAAGTGGGTTCTCTTGATAACCGTTAAGCAGCTGGTGGTGAGACTGCATGCAACTCGCTGTCCGCTGAAAGCTGCTGGGCTGTCTGATTTCTTTAGGAAGGTTGCTTCCTCGGGTGACTACATAATTGGTGGTGCCCAGTGAATGTTAGCTGTGTTCTGTCCATGAAAAATCCTTTGCGTGATTTGTGCGACAGGAACCATCATGATTCCCATTGCAGAGGCGAGGAAACAGGGCAGGCACGTGGTAGAACTGGGCGTTGAGACATGTGCCTTGATGATACAATCCTGAGAGCATACTACTAACTTTCAGTGCAGAGACTTATTTTTTCAGTCCTGTGTTCTAATAATGCAAATGCTTCTCCAGTAGAAAAGGCATATTTGTGAAAAGGTCAGTTGTGTTGACCAAGTTGATGGGGTCAAGGGTACAGCCAGCCCCAGGTGCCCTGGGATGAGTTCTTTTCTGGCCTCTGTTCCCTCACTGCTCAGCAGAGAGCAGGGAGAAGAGCGGGAGGACCCTTGTGACCCTCATCCCCATGGCGGCAGCATTGCCCTGCTCCTGAGTGTGGACGTGGCTCATTCCCTGCCAGCTGGGCCCCACACTCACATGCGTGGAGAGTGGTGAGCTGACCTCCTCGTGTTCCGTCCCCAGGTGGTCCTGCTCGTCTATCACTGGAGCAGCAGGGAGTCTGAGCACGATCTCCTGGTCCACAAGGCTGTGGCCAAATGGACGGCGGAAGAAGTTGTCCTCTGGCTGGAGCAGCTGGGCCCTTGGGCCTCCCTCTACAGGGACAGGTTTTTATCTGAAAGAGTAAACGGAAGGTGAGGACAAGTATCTTCTGGCACGCCCTGGGCATTTCTGTAACCAGCTTTATTGAGATAGAAGTACACACCCCAGAGTTCACCCGTTTGAAGTCTGCAGTTCATGGTCTTTAGTGTATTCACAGATATATGTAACCATCACCACAGTTTAGTCTAGAACATTTTTCTGACCCCAGAAAAAAGCTTTTTACCCTCATTGGTCAGTCCGCCTTTCCCTGTCCTTTAACTGCAGGCAGACACCATTCAACTTGGAGTTTGGAAAAATGGATTGGCCTGTTGTGCACTTCCATATAAATGGAATCATACACTGTGTGGCCTTTTCTGTGTGGCTTTTTCAGTTAGCATAATGTTTTCAAGGTTCACCCATTGATGTAGCAAATCAGCGCTTCGTTCCTCTTTTATCACTGAAGAATATTCCATTATTTGCTTAGACTATATTTTCTTTACCTGTTCTTCAGTTGATGGACATTTACGTTGATTCCAGGTTTTGGCCATTAGGAATAATGCTGCTATGATCATTTATGTGCAAGATTTTATGTGGACAGCTATGGTGGCACAAGCCTGTGATCCCAGCACTTGGGATGCTGAGGCAGGAGGATCGTTAAGAGTTCGAGGCCAGCCTGGGCTATATAGTGAGTTCAAGGCCAGCTTGAACTCCATAGCAGGACCCTGTCTCAAAAAACCAACAATAAAAAAGATTTTATGTGGACTAATCCTACTCTTCAGAAAAGTGCGGTCTACCACTTGCTCCACCCCTAGCTTCCAGATTTTTTAAATGTTTATGCATTGAAATACGTGTGTGCATTATTTCTTTATTTAAACTGAAAATGCAGTTGTACTAAATAAACCTGTGTTTCTGTGTGTGCATATTTGTAGATGCAGGTGCAGATGCAGATGCAGATGTATCCCTGTGTGCAGTGGGTACACAGAGCACCGCACATGGGTCGGAGCAGACACTGTCATGATCCATTTAATCCATTGATTTCAGACACGGAATCTGCTCACTGCCAGGCTGCCTGACTGCCCCACTTCCAGTCGGTACCTGCTTCCCCAACCAGCTATTTTTTTCTTTGTTTAAAGAACTGAGATGAATCCAGGGACCACTAAGCTCCATCCCCAACCCTTCTCTGTCTGTAACAGGTCTCTCGCTAAGTTTCTCTGGCTGCCCTCAGACCTGAGATCTTCCTGCCTCAGCCTCCTGAGTAGGCCAGAAGAGTAGGCATGCATCACTGTGCCTAGCTTCCACTGAGCTTTTCTGACACTTGACTTCCCTGCGGAAAAGCAAACTGGCTCTATTTGAATTAGGTTTTTGTAAGAATTAGCTTCCCCCGAAACTGTGGCTAAAAGTCGCTCTGTCTACTTATCACAGTGTATCTTAGGGTGATTGTTTCACTCCTAGAAGATAAAGTCCTAGAACTGATGGCACCGCGCCAAAAGGAGTACATCTGTCTGTGTCTTTAATAGACCCTACTGAGTGCTACCAAACTGCCCCCGCCACCTGCAGGACCGTCACTTTTGCACTCCTCCGCCCAGAGCGGCCGGCAGCCGCCGTTGTCTCCTCTGCCTGCCGTGTACAGTGATTGAGCTCCCTGTGCTGGGGAACAAATCAGGGCCCCGTGCCTGTGAGGCAAGGGCCCTCGCACTGAGCCGCAGCCCCCCACCCACACCAGCCCTGTGGGAGTGAACTTCATGATTTAAGTCACCGTGGAAACGGAATCTTACTTTCTGATGAGGAAGCTAGAGAAGGGACCTGTAATGATTTTTATTAAATTAAACCCCTACCCAAATACCCCTCTGTCTTGTGCTTTAGTTTGCTTTGTTTTGAGCTGAGGTCTTGCCGTGTTGTCCAGGCTGACCTCCAGCTTGCAGTCCTCCTGCCTCAGCCTCCCAAATGCTTTCCACCACGCCCAGCTAAAGCAGCCATTCTGCAGGTCATAATATGTTCCCGGATTTCCTTCTTTTCCCTGTGTAGACGCGAACCAGAATAATGAGTAAGATTCAGAGTCTCTAACTGAAAGAGCAAAGGCTTAGGAACGAGACAACTGTGGTGTGCTGTCGGCAGTCACTATTTCCCTAAGCCTGTTTTCTGGTCTGCGAAAAGGGCCCTTGCCACTCTCTCCACAGAACTGTTAGATGACCAGCCGTGATGTATGCAAATATTTTCGAATACTAGTAGTTGCCAAGTAGTAAGCATTCAGCTGTTTGCTGTTACTGCTACTACATATGTTTAATTTCTCACTTTAATACTTGCATCAATAAGGCGGATCTCAGTGTGGAAAATGTGCTCCCCGTGTGAAATCTTCTTTCCCACCCCACCACAGGTTGCTTTTAACCCTGACAGAGGAAGAATTTTCAAGAGCACCATATACCATAGAAAACAGCAGCCACAGAAGAGCCATCCTCGCGGAGCTGGAGCGCGTCAAAGCACTAGGTGTGAAGCCCCCCCAAAATCTCTGGGAATATAAGGTGAACTCCTGACTTTTTTTAATCATCTCCTTGCCTACTGTGTAACTTAAGAAAAGTTGCCACCCCTAGGTCCGCCCTCCTCGCTGGCCAGCCCCATTCTTGCAGGGGTGCTGGGCCCGCTCTCCTGCGTACTGTCCTGTCATCCCCAAGCGCAGGAGCATGGTTTTCCAGGCTCTAGCCTTAGTGCAAGAGGCATGAACTGAGTGTATCCTCCGCACGGAGCTTTGATCTCAGTGGCTCCAGCTCGCCATTCTCTATCTTGTGCTGTGTTCCCCTGGGCACACACATGACAGCTTGTGCAGTTCCTGTTGATGGACCCTGAGTGAGTTTCCACTTTTGCTATTAGAAGCTACACATTCTCAGGAATGGACATTCCCTGCTCTGGACGTGTACAAGATCTCAGTGCTATTTTTTATTAGTTATGAAGTACCTGGAATATGCAGACTTAAACTTTGAAAAAAGACAGCTCAGAGAAAAATCAGATAATTAATAAACTTATGGGGAAAAATGCCTCTTCTTAGTTAAAGAAGGGCAAACTAAACAATCAGATGACTTTTTTTTCACTTACGCTATTGTCAGATTTGACACTTAATATGAAGAAAGAGGCGCTTATGTGTTACAAGGATCATGAACTGGTGCCATCTCTCTGCAAGGCACTTGGTCATCACATTTCAATTTAAACTGCATCCTCCCCCAACCTGGCATTCCACCGCTTTACATTTGGAGTGGAGGCAGCATAGCTTAGCGGTCAAGAGCCAGGCTGCAGTCCAGCACAGGGGTGTGTGCCTTAAGTCCCAGCACTCAGGAGGCTGAGGCAAGAGGGTCACGAGTCTCAACAGAAAACAGAGCAAGGCTCTGGGGCCCCTGCCAGGCTCCTTGACACCTCCTTCGGGATATACTGCCTGTGGGTCCTCCTGCCTCAGCCTCTCAGAGTACTGGGATTATAGACATGCACCACCATTCCCAGCTTGTACAAGTAATCGTTCTTAATAGTAACCAGAGCAAATGAGAATTTGAGTCTGGTCCTGCTGTCAAACCAAGATGATCTCCTCTGCAGTCAGCTCTTTGACCTCTTCCTTGCTGCCAGCCCCTTGAGAGTGCACATTTGACAGCTCCACCCCTCGTGTCCTGGTACAGCTCTGTCAGAATGCCTGAAAGAGATCACTGCCTCTTCAGTGCTATTGTCAGTCATAGTCATCTCGCGGTTGTTTTTCCTCCCCATCTGATGGGATGTAAACAAGAGTTGGATTGTTTGGGTGCAGCACTCACACTGTGTGAGGTTGTTTTTCCTCCCTATCTGATGGGACGTAAACAAGAGTTGGATTGTTTGGGTCCAGCACTCACACTGATGCCAGAGCTGCAGACACGGAACATGGCATCTCCCTTTCTCTTGTTCTTCTGCTCTGGCTGCACACAGCAGGCTTTACTTCTGGGCCTGAGTGCCTGGAGATCGTGTACCCTCAGCGGGAGCAGTATTACCCACGGGAGTACAAAACTGGGTTCCTGGGGGATAAAGTCTTGGCCATAACAGTGACTTTTGTCAACTTCCAAAAAAGACACAGCCCATGAACAGACACATAGTATATCTGCCGTGTTGACATTCCATGGGGCTGGGCTCTGTGGCGCACGCCTGTAATCCCATCATTCGAGAGGCCTTGAGGCAGGAGGATCGCCATGAGTTTGAGGCCAGCCTGGGCTACATAACGAGACCCTCAAGAAAAAAAAAAATTTCATGGGGTGTGGGACTATGAAGAAACGTCTTATGGTGCTGGAGGCATAGCTCAGTGGTAGAGCATTTGCCCAGTATGTGGGAGGCCCTCCCTGCAGTTCCCCAGTGCTGCAGTCATCACCATGATCATCATGACCATCATCTTGTTAGGATTTTTTTGGTACTGGGGATCAAACTTGGGTCCTTGCGCTTGCGCAGCAGGCCACAAAACCACTGAGCTAAATCCCCGGCCCTAGAAAGTCATTTTGATGTGACCTTATTGGCCCTTGATGGTTTCCTCTCTCACGTGTCAAGATGCTCATGTTATTCTTACATGTTTTCTGCTCCAGGCCTAGAATCTGGCATTTTCTAAATGGATTTTAAAAAATCTTTCACTACAGAAAATTTCAGAAAATACAAAAATGGAGGGAAGAATGTATGAGCCTGAGGATGTCCAAGCATAGTGTTTCATCCCTACATACTTTACTATGACTTTCTAAAGAGAATCTTTTTAAAATGTAATCATCACACTTAAAAATTTGATAGCATCAAAATAAGCTGAATAGATTTAAAGCTTTAGTGAAGTAGAATTAACACACACATACCTAATGTGTATACACTTTAAATTTGATATGCTTTGACATGTGTACATACCTGTGAAACCATCACCACAGTCAAGATGGGGGAGCACATCCTCAAAATTTCCTCCTCTCCCTTGGTATCCCTGCCTCCTACTTCTCCCATTCTACTAGGTGTGCAGTGATTTTTTTTTCCCCCCACTGTGCTAGGGATCAAACCCAAGGTCATGCATGCCCGGCGGGAGTTGTACCACTGACCCACACTCCCAGCAAAGTGCCCAGTTTGTTTTATCCCCCCCCATACTGGGATCGAACTCATGACCTTGCGCTTGCAAGGCAAGTGCGGTGTCACTGAGCTAAATCCCTGACCCCCAGTTTGTTTGATTCTAAATGCCAAGTTGAATCATTTTTAAAGTTCCTTTTTTTTTGTACTGGGGATCGAACTCAGGATCTTGCTCTTGTGAGCCAGGTGTGGCACCACTGAGCTACATCCCTGGCCCTAAAGTTACTTTTAGAATCAGGAAAAAAAATAAATCTTTATTCATTGTAGTAAAATTTCAAAGATTTACAAAAATGAGGGAAATAAAAAGAAATTGCCCATAATCTCACTTGAAATTCAAACATGATTAACATTGCAGTTCTGTTTTTCCCTGGTCTGTTCTGGGAGAAGCTTATACAGTCTTAACTAGTATCTGTTAACTGCGTTAAGAGCTAGCTGATCCTCCAGCAAAGGCAACCCGGCCCTGAGCCAGGGCCTGCTGTCACGGCCCTGATAGTACAGAGATCATTGTGCTACATGTGGGCTGCAAATTTCAGCAGTTTGCACTGTGACAGTGCAACACCAAACATTTTATACACGAAGCCTTCTTTAGTTCAGTTATTTTTATTAAGTGGTATCTACTTACAGATAAGCTAAATTGAATTCTTCCTTTCTTCCCTTTCTTGCCCTCTTCCTCCTTTCTTTCCTATCTTCCTGCCTCAGCCTCCCAAGTAGCTGGGATTACAAGTGTGAGCTACCAAATCTGGCTTTGAAAATTTTAAAGACTGATGTTTTTCAGAACCACATTCCCAAAATGTTACGTTCTGATGATCCCATCTGTGGTTAGAAATTGGATCGTTTTATAATGTAGCCTGAAAGATGGATTACTTGGCCTCTTGTTGCCATTCACTCATTCATTCATTCATTCATTTTTTGTGCACATCACACATTAGCAAAAAAGCTGATGACAAAAGCATGAGACCCTAGATGGAATGTGGATGGGGAGCTGGCCGCCGTGGTTGTAATGTGGCCCTCTGGCTGCTTGTCCACTGCAGGCCGTGAACCCAGGCAGGTCCCTGTTCCTGCTCTACGCCCTCAAGAGCTCCCCAAGACTCAGTCTGCTATACCTCTACCTGTTTGACTACACAGACACCTTTCTGCCCTTCATCCACACCATCTGCCCTCTGCAGGATGACAGCTCCAGGGAGGACATCATCACCAAGCTTCTGGTAGGTCTGCGGAGTGCCTGTCGTAATTATGCTACTATCCCTCAGTGTGGAATTGGAGACGTGGCTGTAGGCTCCTGTGGGGGAGTGGGCAACACCCAGGCTTCCTGTGAATTTTTCAGGGAGATCCCCTCCCCACAAAAGAAAATGAAGTCAGACCTTTCCTAGAAGCTCATTTTGTTTTCTGCATTGCACAGCAAGAGAAGCAATCCTCAGGACTTGAAATACTAAAAAGAAAAGCATAAAACGTTGCTTTTGTTATAAAAGAAGGGCATAGGTCCAGACCACAGGAAGGAATTAGATGTATGGGCCTTCCAGCCTGTCGCATGTCCCTTAATAGAACCTGTAAAGGGTGGTTAAAGAGCAGAATGTGCATCTGTCCTGGACGCCTTAGAACAGTCGGCCTCACTGGCCAGAGTTGTCACCGGGCTCTTCACAGGCATGGCTGCCCCCCACCCCCACCCCTGTAGGCACTTGTTCCTTTGACTTTACTTGAGGATTCCTTCAGAAATCCTGGTGGACTTATTTACTGGGGCCAATTTCTCTATGTCTGGTCGGTCATTTGAGGGTAACGTCCTTTTCTTTGCTACTCTTGGGGCTGATCCTTTGATTTGTTTGAATTAAAAGTGTCACGGACGTAGGAATAATCATGTATAATCCACACCCATAAATACCGAAACAATTTCTGAATCTCCAAAGGTACTTCTTAAATACTAGTCGGGAGACCACTTGACTACAGCCTTGAATGTAGGTTAGAGCTGCTGATTAGCCCTTTTGCGCAGTTACTCTAAGTACCCAGTTTCCAGTTGTTACTTGCCTCCAGACTCAGCACAGAAATTTTAAAGTGCTTCTGTCTTAACAAGCCCCAGTAACCCCTGCCTGTTCATCAAGCTGACTTTTTTTTTTTTTTTTGTACCAGGGATTGAACTCGGGTCTTTGAGCCTGCCCAGCAGGCGGTGAAACCACTGAGCTAAATCCCCGGCCCACAAGCTGACTTTTTAATCTGCTAAAATCTGTGCCCCCCTGATTACTTTTTTTTTTGGTACCGGGGATCGAACTCGGGTCCTCGCATTTGCAGTGCAGGTGGCGGAACCATTGAGCTAAATCCCTGGCCTCCCTTGGATTACTTTTTAAAGGTGTGTATATATAAATATTTTAAATTTCACCACCATTTATTGTCATTGTACTACAGTTAAGATGTTGAATTTAGAAGGGCCAGGGGTTTAGCTCAGTGGTTCCGCCGCCTGTCTTGCAAGCGCAAAAACCTGAGTTCGATCCCTGGTACCAAAAAAAGATGTTGAATTTAGAAAGTGATTTGAGCTCTTCATGCAGGGACAGAGGAATAGAACAACGGTTAATGTAACTGCATTTCAACCCTATTATTCATAACTCATGTTTATTTGGATTTTCTCAACTCCCACAATTATATAACAAGCATCTCAGTATAAACTTTTTGATAACATTCATCTAATTTAAGATTAATTCTTACAAGAGACGTTGGATGAAAATTCTCAGATTGTTAGGTATTTATAACAAATGTAAAGCTCACTGATCACAGTGTCAGTTAAGTCAGCCCTTGGGATTTTTGTGCCCATGTGTGTTGTTTTTCCAGGACCTGAGGGAGCCCACCTGGAAGCAGTGGAGGGAGTTCCTTGTCAAGTACTCCTTCCTTCCATACCAGCTGATTGCTGAATTCGCCTGGGACTGGCTGGAGGTCCATTACTGGACATCACGGTTTCTCATTGTCAATGCCATGCTACTCTCGGTTCTCGAATTATTCTCTTTTTGGAGGATCTGGTCCAGAAGTGAGCTGAAGTAAGGGTGTTTTTATGTAAGAGAGATGTGGAGCAATAAGGGCTGGGAAGGAAATACCAAGTAGGGAAAAGATCCCCTTCAAAGTATTTCTTAAAGGTTTTTTATTTTGTTTTGTTTTCTGAGACAGGGTTTCACTATGTAGTTCAGGCTGGTCTTGAACTCACTATGTAGCTCAGGCTGGCCTTGAACTCAGTGATCCTCCTGCCTCAGCCTCCCAAATGCTGGGTTTACAGGCGTGAGTCACTATGCCCGGTAGTATTTCTTAAAATTGAAAAGGGAAAAATATCCTTCTTCTACCAAGACTTCTCAGACTCTGGTTTGAGAAATACTACTTAAGCAGTGGATAGAAAAGTTAATTTGTGTTTAAGGGCGTGGGGGTTATGTTCATTATTACAGTGTTTCCCTATACATCGCATCCCTACGTAATAATAAACTGTGTAATTTCAGTGTGGTGTATGTATGTAAAGGGTTTTCCTAATTGGGGAGTAAATAAGAGAGAAGAGGTCCTTGATGGGAAACAGCAGTGCTCTGACCATCAGGAGCTCTCACGGGGAAATCTGTGGCTGTGCTGTTAAATGCTGTTCTGCCACCAACTAGAACAATGATAACTTCTCTAGATTGGTGAAAGAAACGAGACACTGTTCTAGACAGCCTCACAGTTGGAGGCTCCTGGATGCAAGTGACGGGAGCCAGCCTAAACTGGCTTCACTGAAAAGGGTCACAGGTGTGGTGGAAGAGACCCAGGGGCGGTCCTCGGAACTGGCTCTGTCACGGCCTTGCTCCTTCCTGTGTTAGCCTCTCAAAGCTCTCCTCATGTGGGAGCTTTGGCTGCTCCTGACTTTGGTCTGAGTATTTTAGCAATCCTGTTGGAAAGAAGGCACTCCTAGGCTAGGCGTGGTCATGCACACCTATAATCCCAGCACTGGGGAGGCTGAGGCAGGAGGATCACCATGAGTTCGAGGCCAGCCCAGGCTACATAGTGAGACCCTGTCTCATTTGTAAATAAATAAATAGTGAAAAGTGAAGAAAAAGTACTTCTTTTCTCATACCACTTGTAACAGGCCTCAGGGCTCACACCTTTGCTCTGATTGGGCCGGCCTGGGTCACGTGCCCAGCCAAGGCCATCAGGGGTATGCAGAGCACTCCTCAGCCAGCCTCAAGGCAGCCTCTCACCTCACCACTGGGGGCTGCTTTCAGACCCACCCAGAGAATAGGAAGGAGAGACTAAGGGAGTAATTCAGTGCAAGAGCACCTGCTCACCATGCTCAAAGCCCTAGGTTCAGTCCCCCACGCCCTGAACCATCAGGGAAAAGAGTGGCATGGGTTGCACTTGCCTGTAATCCTAGCTTGGGAGGCTGAGGCAGGAGGATCATAATTTTGAGCTCAGTGTGGGCAACTTAGTGACTTAGCAAGATTCTTCTTTTTTGTTTTTTTGTACTGGGGATCAAACTTAGGACCTTGTGCTTGCAAGGCAGGCAGTGGAACTACTGAGCTAAATCCCCGGCCCAACAAGATTCTGTCTTTAAAAGAAAAGGAAAAAGAATAGGGGAGGAGACATCCCCAAAGCAAAACTCAGAAGTTATTTCCAAAAGAGGAGGACTGCAGGAGAGGCAGAAGGAAACGATCTGCCACATCCTTTCATGTTGATAACCAGTGACTTGTGGGATTCTTGGCCTTGTCTATCAGCAGCAGCCTTAGAGTTCTGAGACCCTGCCAAGAATCTCCCTGGTGTATTTTTTTTTGGTACTGGGGATCGAACTCGGGGCCTTCTGCTTGCAAGGCAGGCGGCAGAACCACTGAGCTTAATCCCTGGCCCCTCCCTCATGTATGTTGAACCAGCTAGCTCACTTATTCGCACAGAGAGTATGGATATTTATGCCCTTTCTGTACCCTTGGCTCTGCAGGGCACTGCAGATGTTTTGGTAAAGCACACAGAACAGCTTGTCCCCAGCAGAGAAAAAATGTATGTTAAAAAGTAAGTAAAAGTGACAGCAACAAGCAGGTGAGGTTGGGGGCCTGGCGTCTGCCCTGAGAAGCAGCCCATGGGCTGCGTCCTGGGAGCTGGAGACAGATTGGTCCACAAAGGCAGGTGTGCATCAGGCACCTGCCACAGGACAGGGGCTCTGTGGCCCAGGCAGGCTGCCCTGTGAGGCAGGTGAGGCCCAGGCCTGAGCCCCAAGGTGTCTGAACCACTTTTCTTCTCTTTGCAGGACGGTGCCTCAGAGGATGTGGAGCCATTTTTGGAAAGTGTCAACACAGGGGCTTTTTGTGGCCATGTTCTGGCCCCTCATTCCTCAGTTTGTTTGCAACTGTTTGTTTTATTGGGCCCTGTACTTCAACCCAATTATTAACATTGATCTTGTCGTCAAGGAAATTCGACGGCTGGAAACCCAAGTGTTGTGACTGGTGAAACCCCAGCTCCAAGAGACTCCTCAGACCTCCCAGAGCGGGGAGTGAGGGAGCAGACTTCCTGTTTTCTACCCCTGTAAAACAAGGTGCTGCTTTATATGCCAAAGGCTTCAACCAGGTCCTCTCCCACTGTGGCCCTGTGGTGGCAGAGACTGATAACCAGCACAAGGAGGAATCTCTGTTGGGCCGCAGCAGAAGCAGCTCCCACCAGCCACATCTTCACCAGGACATGGGAGCTCAGGACGATGGCTGGCAGGACTCAGGGTCTTCGGAGGACACCGTGCAGGTGACGACCGGAGGCATCACGTCAGCAGTCCCCTTCCCCCTCACTTCAGTGACTGGCATGCTCCCAGAGCCTGAGGCCAGGCTTGCTGGGGCCGGGCCCATCCTGTAAGTCAAGTTTAGGAAAACAGGCATCGAAATTTTGTCATAGGCCTAGATTGTCACGCATAAAAAGTCCAGAGGAAAATCCCGAGTTCAGTCACCGTCCTCTCCTGTTGAGTGGTTGTCAGCTTTTGCAGTGACCTGAGAAAGGGTTCGGCTGGAGATGAGAACGACGGTGAGCTTGTCCTCACCATTTGCTGCTCTCCGATCACGGAGGGTTGGGCCCTTTCTCGGAGCAGAGGGGCTGAGTGGGGTGCCAGGCAATTCTCGGAGCATCATTCCCATCAGGCTGAGCTGCATTGGCTACTTCAAAGCATTGTTTTGGAGTGCTGTTGTTTTTAAGAATTTAATTTATAAAATAAGTCTGGGATAGTCTTTGTTTAAGGAAGCACTTTCTAAATTGACCGCACACTGTATAACGTGTAACCTTTATTGTTCTATCTTGATGTATAAACACAGGTAGAATTACATCCAGGGCTATGATTGTAAATAAGAGCAGGATGAAGGATGGCCTTTCATTTCCATCCAGCGTGAAAATGGAAGTATGCAGTGTGATCTCAGCAAGATTGGCCTTGCTAAATAAGTCTGCATCCAAAGTGTGTTTGTGACTCCACGAACCATTCATTAACCCTTTGTATCTCTGCGTGAAGATTTCACTCAAACTTTGCATCTGAAAGTCTGAAGAAATTACTTGAAATAAAGATTTTTTTATACAGATAAAACTCCTACAGAGGGAAAAACTCTTCACAAAACACACAAAAAAATCAGAGTTGCCAGCTTGTATCTACCAGTCAGACTTAAGCTTCCAGCTCCATGTGGCAGTCGAGCCAGCAGACAGCCCTGACGTATCTTCAGTGAAGAAGGAGAATTCTTTCTCTTTGCTTACCAGGCCCCGGGGATCCCTCGCTTTACGTGTTTAACACTGGTGACCTACCAGCGGCGGCACTGAGGCTCCCTGGGAAGGGAGACCCTGAGGTGCGCACGCAGGCCCGGCCTCAGTCCCTGTGGTGTTACCGGTGTTCTTTCCTGATGGAGTGGGGGCTGGCCGCATGCGTGCACCTGGGCCTGGGGCGGGCGGCAGGTGGCAGGTGGCCAGACTCCCTTCCCACCCACACCCAGCTTCAAAGATGAGTAATTACACCTGTGTCAGAAAAGAGGGTGAAGGAGACCTGGTTGCAACTAGAGCACACAGGTGCGCCGCTCATTCCTTACCGCCAGGACTGGCATTCTCAGATGGAGGGTGGCAAGATACCCCTCACCTCCCTCATGCTCCTGCAGGTAAAGGTAGGCTCGAGGGCATCCATGGCGTGCCCGTGCCAAATATGCAGACCCTATGATGGAGAACACCATTTCTCTAAATTCAGGCCAGGAAACAAGAACGTATGTGGGGGATTTATTTATAAGCATCCTTACAACAATTGATAAAAATAGGAAGTGTCTCTTCACAAACAAAAGTTGGTGATCTATAAAATGTTGGTGAGGCCCAGGGATTTAGCTCAGTGCAGCCACCACCTGCCTCAAAAGTGTAAGGTCCTGAGTTCGAGCTCCCCCATACCAAAAAAAAAAATGTCAGTGAAAGCCAGGCATGCTAGCACCTGCCTGTAATTCCAGCTCTCTGAAAGCAGAGACAAAATGATTGAGAGTTCAAGGCCAGCCTGGGCTCCATAGCAAAAATCCTGTCTAAAAAAAAAAAAAAAGGAGGCCAGGGATTTAGCTCAGTGGTGTTGTGCCTGCCTCACAAGTGCAAGGTCCTGAGTTTGATACTCAGTAAGGAAAAACAAAAGACCTAAAATAATGGTATCAAATGCAGCTTTTTTCCCCCCCTGAATACAGCTTTTTAAGAGGAAGTGTCCAAGGGCTATGGATGTAGCCTAGCATATGCAGAAGCCCTAGATAGAATCCCTAGGACCATGAGACAAAAGGAAAAGGACCTGTTAGGAAAATCATAGGGAACTGGGGCCAGGGGTTTAGCCCAGTGGTTCCGGTGCCTGCCTCCCAAGTGCAAGGTCCCAAGTTTGATCCCTGGTACCCCCCCAAAAAACAAAAAAATCATAGGGAATCATCTGAACAACTACTCCACTGCATTTTTAAAAATTACCAAAGACTCATGGAAGCACACTGTGGTGCCAGTAGCAATTATTTTGGATTGTGGCAACTTTCATTTTTTTCTGCTTTTCACTGCTGTGTATCCCCCCCACCCCGCCCCGGTTCTTCTCCTACCCCTGCCCTCAAGCCCAGGAAATAGATGTTTTTCTTGCTATGTTGCCCAGGCTAGCCTCCAACTTCTGCCTCAGGGTTTCCAGTAACTGGGACTATAGATGTATGCCTCCCCAAACAGCTTTTTTTTTTTGAGACAGGTCTCGCTACGTAATTCAGGCTGGCCTTGAACTCACTGTGCAGCCCAGGCTGGTCTCAAAACTCAAGCGATCTTCCTGCCTCAGCCCAAGTGCTAGGATTACAAGCCTGTGCCCAGCTAAGAATGTTCTTTACGTACTAGACTTGAACTTTACAACAGTGGGTGTCATGTGGCTGTCTTCTTTATTGCCACAACCCAGAATCTACAACATGGTCAAGCTTATAGTGGAATTTGTTCACATTTGACCAGCAGCCATCAGGACCAGGTTAGAAGACAAAGCCCACATTTCCATAAAGGTTGGACCTCAAAAATGATTCCAAACCAAGTAGGTATACAGGCATGAAAGCCAGGTGTGGTTGTGCATGCCTACAACCCAGCATTGGGGAGGCTGAGGCAGGAGGATCATGACTTCAAGACCAGCCTCGGCTGCACAGAGAGTTCAAGGTCAGCCTAAATGACACAATAAAACCCTGTCTCAAAATTGAGCCAGGTATGGTGGTGCACGCCAATAGTCCCAGCATTGTGAGAAGCTAACGCAGAAGGATCCCAACATCCAGCTCAGCCTTGGTGCTTAACAAGATCCCTTCTCAAAATAAAGAGGACACGGTATGAAGGCCCTAGGTTTGATCCCCGTACCACAGATAAACTAAAATACTGAAGTAAAATAAAATAGGCTTGGGACTTTTTGAGGCTAGAGATAGTTTCTTTTTCTGGGTTTTTTTTTGAGACTCACTATGTAACCGAGGCTGGCCTCAAACTCATAATGATCCTCCTGCCTCAGCCTCTTGAGTGCTGGGATCACAGGCATGCGCCACCAAGCCCGGCTCGAGCCCAGAGATAGTGTGGGAGACATCCTAGCCTTAGACAGATGGCAGACAGCACACCTGGCCCTTGGAAACCGTAAGAAGATCCTGCTCTCACCATATTTCCTTCACATCTAGACGCGAGCCTGAGCAATACGACCCCACCCCAACCTCATCTCCTTAGCACCCTAGCAGGAGCCTCACACGTGTGCTCCTGTCGTCATTCCTTGGGCTCTGGCATGGGCCGGAGGAGCATGCGCAGTAGCTGCTTCAGGGCACGGGAGAGGAACCCTGCGGTCCCTGTACCCTCTCTACCCCGGCGGTGCTGACGCCCCTGGTGGGCTTTGACAGCCACGCTGCTTCTCTCTGGGCCCATATAACACCACCCACTCCTTCTGACAGGAGAGTGGAGACTCACAACGGACTGGAAAGAAGCCCAGTTAGTTGCCACCCTCGACCACTCCCCGAGGTCTATGAAAGGAGAAGCCGACCCGGGAACTCGCCGGCTCCGCCCGCCCTCCCTTTTGGGGGGCAGACTTTCATCCCTGACAGTTGCTGCCTGCTTGGAACTCTCCCAAGTGTACTTTAACCTCAAGCCTAAATCATTCTGAGTCAAACTCACTTTGAGCTTTCTCAACAGCCTGCTCCTCTGGAGAGCACGTTCCTTCAGTAAATCTCTGCCTTTCTCACTACCTCTGTGTGTCCCGCTCAATTCTTTGTGCAGGACACAAAGACCCTGGGTACCAAGTGAGACTGACGCCAACTGTCACTTTGCCCTTTATCGAACTGGAAGCCAGAGAGGATGGGTCTGAGATTCTGAGACGGAGAGAGAGAGAGCAAACTAGCTTTGCGGCTGGATCCCACTTGGCCTCTGTTGCCTCCTGCAGAAAACTGAATGCTGTTGTTCGTCAGGGAAAAGAAGCTTTATTTCTTTGTGCAAACGAACATGTCACATCAGGTTGGTTGGTCACAAGTGGGAGACTCCTGCTCACACAGGAAGTGCGGGTAGAATAAATACTTGAGGTTGTACTCAGCCTCAGCGAGGCAGTAAGCGATGTTCCTGTCACACTCACACATGAGTTCTTGGCACTTGTTCTCCGCAGGTCCTGGAAGAAGTGGGGAAACTGAGGTTAGAGCAGGGACCTGCAGAAACTCCAGAGTAAATGTCAGGGAAGCCAGTCCAGTAAAGCAGGGGGCGGGACGGGTCATGAATTGTCCTTCTGTTACACTTGACAATCACCATGTGCTCCGTTGACGTAAGCACTCCCAGAAGCAGGGGCTGTCACCCTCTCTTTAGGGAAAAGGGGCTTGAAGACCCAGAGTCTGAAGCACACCACCTTCTGCTTTCTCCTCTGTGTTGATACTATGGTTTTATTTGAGGGGTCCATTTAGATTAAGAGGGTAGGCGCCTGGCAACCATCTGGGTTTGTAATGCCTGCTCTGCCACGCCTCGCTCTGTCCTTGCCTAACCTTTCTGAGGCTGAGTCCTCCCATAAAATGGGATGTGGCTCAAAGATAGTGTTTGCCTAGCATTCTCAAGGCCCTGGGTTCAATGCCCAGCACTGGAAAACAAAAGTTAAAAATAAACAAAATGGAAACAGGGTTATTGGGAGCCAGGGTGAAAAAGGCTATGAAAATGCCAGCAGGGGCTCAGCACAGGACACGACTTCCGTGTGCACTGGCTCCCATCTGTGTTTCTTAGCCCCTTCTCCAGGTCTCCTCCAGGTGCTCCTTGGAGAAAAGCAGCTTAGGACGGGGGGGTAGCTCAGTGGTAGAGCATTTTCCTAGCAGGTGTAAGACCCTGGGTTCCACCCCCAGCAACAAAAGCAAAGCAATTCCACTACTCTTTAGAAAGCCTCGTTTGTGTGGCTTAGAAAGACTCTGTAGTCTTTCACTCAGGAGGCTCAGCAGCACCAGAGAGGACAGAGTGGTAGGTGGGAGACTCAGGACACTCAGGACCATCCCTCCAAGCCCTGTTGTGAGCGGAGCTGATTAATGAAGTTAATCTGCGTGGCTACACATAGGGCTCCCCAAACTTGGTCAGGGCCAAGGCAGCTTCAAGATTACTAAAATCCCTCTGCCATTTGGTCATTCATTCACTCATTCATAGTGCTGAGGGCTGAACCCAGAGCCTCACACCTGGTAGTCTGTGTTTTATCACTCAGCTACGCTACCAGTCCCTCTCACTATTTAATAATGTCTATTATGAATCAAAGAAATATATTAAATTACACCAAAGTCTATCCCTGCCATAATTGGAAAACGAAAATCTTATACCATAATATAAGAAACTGATAAAAAATATGCCAAGCAGCCAGGTATGGTGGCTCACACCTGTAATCCCAGCCCTCTGGGGAGGCTGAGGCAGGAGGATCACTGTGAGTTTGAGACCAGTCTGAGCTACACTGTGAGTTCACAACCAGCCTGAACTACATAGCGAGACCTTCTCTCCAAAAACAACAATGAAGACCCGTGAAGATAAAATTCTGCAGAATTAAAGTCTAGTGAGATGTTAGATGCCTCCTTGTAGGTCGTGAACCCCCAAATTAGAGTGTCATGGTTTAAAGACAAAGAGAGATTAGCAAGCATAAGAGAAATTTAACACCTCTAGCCGAATGTCACAGTTTCCAATTGCCTAGTTGGAAAATTAACACAAAATTTGAAAGGAAAGAATCTCACTTCTTGGTTAAGCTTCTCACATTCTTAAAGCTAAGGTAAAGCTGGCCCACCGGCTTGTAATGCTGGCCCGGAAGCTTGAGGCATCAGTCTGGGCAATTTAGTGACTTAGCAAGACCTTGTCTCAAAAATAATTTTAAAAAATTAAAAAGGGCTGGGGATGTCGCTTGGTGTGGAGACCTTGGGTTCAATCTCCTGCACTGAAAAATAAAAACTGTAAAGGAGCTGGGTGTGGGGGGGCATGCCTGTGACCCCAGCACTGGGGAGGCTGAAGTGGGAGGACCATGTGTCTGAGGCCAGCCTGGGCTACATAGTGAGACTCTCTCTCAGAAACAAGTACAACAACAACAAAAATAATTCCTACCCCTGCTTTTTTTTTTATTAAGTCAAAATCCCTATCATACAAAACTTACCATTTTGTCAGGGCCGTTTAGTACATTCATTCACAATGCTATGGATTTATCTCCTTCCAAAACATTTCTTTCAACTCAAAAGAAACCTTGTACTCAGAAAGCACTTGCTCCTCGCTCCCCTTGCCTGAGTCCCCGGCCACCACCAGTCTGCTTGCCATTCACAGGGACTAGCTTATCCTGTGCATCTCACGTCAATGGAGTCATAAGACCTTTTGGCCCTGCCTTTTTTCACACTCAGTATCACATTCTCAAGGTTCATCCGTGCGATGGCAGGGATGATATTTCACCTGCTTATTGACATAGTACTTACAAAGCGCTTGGCACGTGCACTATTTCCTGTCCCTCTCTTTCTGCTGCAGTGCTGGGGGGTGGAATTCAGGCCTCACACATACTAGACAAATAGTCTACCTACTGAGCAAAACCCCAGCCCACTTCCTTCCTTCTCTTAGACTCTAGGGCTTTACTGCTCTGTTTTGCTTAAAACCTAGCATAGAACCTAGAACAGGGTAGATTCTCAGTAATACTTGTTAAGAGAATATACAAATCCCATGCTTTATTTCCAATACTCACTCAAACCCAAATGTATTTTATTATTCTCATTTTACAGATGAGAAAAGTGAGGTTCAGAGGGATCAAGTTACTTGGCCAAGTTCACTGAGCTGGAAAGGGTTGGACCAAAATTCCAGCCCAGGATCTCTTGACCCGATGCCTGTTTCTCCTATCTTCTTGAGCAAGAAAGATTCTTTCAAAAACACTCCTTGGGCCCCCTGATCTGTACTCTTGAAAACTCAAAGGAACCATGTTGTTCAAGAAGAATAAAAATGTAAAAGGAAAAATAGCTCCAGTGGGTTAAGTTTAAAATTAAAGCCTGCTAGTAAATATTATTATAGGCTTAAAAATTTTAAATATATTTGTCAGGCCCATAAATGGAAAATGGGCCAAGCCTATAATTAAATAAACAGCTATGTTCAGAATATCTCCAAACAGAATGAAAACATATTCTTAGTAAAAAAAAAATGTGTAATAGATATTTAGATTCATTCCATTTGCTTCAGGGAGGACAGTTCTGTAAACAGGTGCTGACTCGACCAGCAAACACACCAGTAAACATTTCATAAATGTCATTCTCCCACAGGGGGAGCAAACAGAATGTGTCAATTGAAGGGAAAAAGGAAAGATCTTCAGCAGACTCCCATCCAGCCTCCTTTCGCTTCCTGTTTGCCATGCCAGAAGGGGGCAGTTCAGGGACAAGTAGCTCTCTCCCTGGGCCTCAGTTTCCCTGACTCTAAATGAGAGGGTTGGAGAAGATGATGCTGAGAGCACATGCAGTCCTGAAATCTGACATTGCATCTACTATTATTTCAGCTTTGCTCTTCCACCAGCTCCTCATTCTGAACTTACTCTTGCCTTCCTGACTCCAGGGCGGACCACGTCTCCAGAAGCTTCGGTTTAGTGGACACTCACACGGAAGACAGGAGGGTAAGAAAGGGAGAGAATACCCTCCTCCAGTCTGCTTAGCACATCACAAACCCTTTTCTCTTTGCAACACTCAACTTCCAGGTAAACTGAGGCTCAGGTTGTCATCAGCTCAAAGTGACGGGCCCTCATCCATCTAGGGCCTAATGATTTTCAACAAAGGTGCCAGGACTATTCAAAGGAGAGAGAAGACAATCCTCAGCAAATGGTTCTGGAGCAGCTGTCTAGCCACATGCCAAAGAAGGAAGTTGGGCCCCTTCACTTCATTTCATATATACAAATTAAAACAAAATGGGTCAGTAATCTGGGTACGGTGGTGCATGCTTGCAATCCCAGCTCTGCAGGAGGCTGAGGCAGGAATTTCAAGTTCAACTGGACAATTTTGTGAAACCCTGTTTCAAAACAAAAAGTTTGAAAAGGGCTGGGAGCCACTCATAGTAGCACATGCTTGAAATCTCAGCACTCTGAGAAGCTGAGTAGGAGAATCACAAACTCAAGCCCAGCCTAGGCAATTTAGCAATTTAGCGTTGTCCTTTCTCAAAAGAAAAGAAAAGAAAAGAAAAGAATAATGACCTAAATCTAAGAGCTAAACTGTAAAAGAATTAGGAGAAAACATAGAAGTCAATCTTGGATATGGCGATGGATTCTTAGGTAAGAAATGAAAGAACAAGAGCAATGATAGATGAAATAGGTAAATTAGTTTTTAAAAAAATTAAACTTGTGTGCATCAAGGGCATCATTGAGAAAATGAGAACAATTTATAGAGTGGGAGAAAATAGCTTCAAATCACAGCTTTGATAAAAATTCAGAATTCAGGATATGAAAAATTTTTACAATCAAACCACCAAAAGACTAACAATGCAATAAAGATGGGCAAAGAGCTTGAATAGATCTTTCTTCAAAGAAGACATAAAAATGGCAAAGCAGCATGTAAAAACACTCAACATCATCAGTTATTAGAGAAAAGCAGCTACTCAGGAGGCTGAGTCAGGAGGATTGCCACTTTGAGAGCACCCTAGTTTACATAGTGAAAACTTGTCTCAAAATAAAATAAAAAGGGCTAGGAATATAGCTCAATGGCAGAGGCCTTCCTCAGCATGTGCAAGGCCCTGGGTTTGATCCCTAGTACAAAGAAAGAATGAAAGAGAGAGAGAGAGAGACACAGAGAGAGAGAGAGAGAGAGAGAGAGGTAAAATGGTGTGTGTACTGTAAAGAAGTTTGATGGTTCCTCAAAAAGCAAAACAGGATTAGTGTGTGACTAAGCAATTCCACTCATAGGTATGTACACCAACAAACTGAAAATAGCTACTCAAATAAATACGTTTTTATGAATGTTCACAGCACCACTATGCACAATGGCCAAAAAGTAGAAACAACTCAAATGCCCATTTTTACACGAATGAATAAACAAAATGTGACAAATCCATACAATGCAATGAAAATTGCTCATAAAAGGGATGAAGCTGAGTGTGGCAGTGCACGCCTATAGTTCCAGCTACTTGGGAGACTGAGGCAGGAGGATCTCAAGTTTGAGGCTGGCCTGTGCGACTTAGAAACACTTTCTTTCAAAGATAAAAAACCAAAAAGGCTGAGCCTGTGGTAGACCACTTGTCTAATGAAGCACCAATACACGGGAACAATATGGATGAACTCACAAAACATGACGTGGGCCGGGGATTTAGCTCAGTGGTTCCAGTGCCTGCCTTGCAAGCTCAAGGTCCAGAGTTTGATCCCCGGTACCAAAAAAACACCCCAAAACCCCATGACGCTAAGCAAAAGAAAGCAGACACAAGAGACCGCACAGTATCTAATTCTACTGACAGGAAATATCTAGATTTAGTAAACCCAGAGATAAAAATCCAGTCTCTCAGGTTGCCAGGAGCTGGTGGAGGGAGGAAGGGGCCCGGGGGCCCCTGCTTTATGAAGTCTTTGAGAGGGTGGAGTTGAAAATGTTTTGGTGGTGGCTAGGCAACACTGCAGCTATACTAAAGATCACGGAATTGTACACTTTTAAGCGATTAACTTTATAGGGTATTTATTGTCAGTTAAAAGAAAAATAAAGTGATGGAAACAGTTGTCTGGATACGTGTGAATCCCACTACTGAAACTAGCTTTAGTCACAGCTTGTCTGTACCAGTACTCACTTTTTTCTCTTAAAATTGATAATTTAATTTTATTAATGTTATTGCAGTACTGTGGATTGAACTCAGAGCCTTGCATCTGTTAGACAAGTGCTCTACCATGGAGCTACACCTCCAGCCCTATTTTTAAATTTACCTGAGGCAGGATGTGAGGATACACACCTTTAATACCAGCACTCTCAGAGGCTGAGGCGGGAGAATCGAAAAGTCCGGCCCAGCTTGGGCAATTTAGTAATGTAGTGAAACCCTGCCTCAAAATAAAAAATTAAAAAGGGCTGGGATGTAGCTTTCAGCACAAAGGTTCTGGGTTCAAATCCCACTACTGGAAAAAAATTATTTGAAAGGAAATTGTAAATGGAAAGCACCACTGAGTCTTAAAAATAAATATCTCTTCTAGGCATGCTGGTTCACACTTGTAATCCCAGCATTCAGGAGGCTGAGGCAGGAGGAGCGCTGAAAGTTTGAGGCCAGCCTGGACTATATAGTGAGTTTAAGGTCAGCCTGAGATGTGTAGCAGGATCCTGTCTCAGAACAAACAAACAAATTCACCCCTTTCCTAACTGCTTTGTTTAAAAACCAGTAAAGTTGCCCTGAGGGACACTTAACATTTTTAATTCAGTCTTTTTTTTTCCTTTTAACTTTAGAATTAGTTGGTTATGCACAATATACACTGTGATGTTAGAATGCGTCATGGGACAATTGTCCTCAATGAATATATGTGAGTTGTACCTTAAGATAAGTAATTAGTAGATAGACACACAGGATTTTTATTTTTCTTCTTTTAAATGGAATCCCACACTTTATTTCTGCTCTTCCAAAAACTCCAAAGAGGCTTTGTTACCTACAGGTATATATCTTTATTTTAAAAATTACTTTTTATTAGTACTTTCTTTAAGCCGGAATTAAATTCGGGTGTACAACCCTTCTTGGATAAGACTATAAGCCAGAGCTTCACTGTTTTAAAAGGAATCAAAGCTGAGGCTGTAGCTCAGTGGTAGAGCGTGTGCCTAGCGTGGCTGAGGTCCTGGATTCCATCCCAGAGTCACAAAAAATGATTATTATTTATTTATTTATTTATTTTTAAATTTTTGGTCCCGGGGATCGAACTTGGGGCCTTGTGCTTGTGCGGCAGGCAGCAGAACCACTGAGCTAAATCCCCGGCCCCACAAAAAAATAATTAATTAAAATAAAAATGGGGGCCGGGGATTTAGCTCAGTGGTATCGCGCCTGCCTGGCAAGCACAAGATCCTGAGTTTGAATCCTGGTACCTAAAAATAAATAAATAAAAAAAAATAAAATTAAAATAACCCAGCAAATACAGCGAGCCCTCAAGTTATGACACCTGATATACGAACGAATTGTGTTCATTAGGTTAATGAAGATTCATCTGCCTCTTGTTATCCATAGTGTGTACCCAGGTAAACATCCAGGTCTCAGCTGTGTTGACTCACAGCCAACTTGAGTTACAACCAGCCCTTGGGGGGGCCAATCGAGTTCGTAAGTCAAGGGTCCACTGTGTTAGAAAGGTGTGAAAGCTAAAGGAGCATGGGGCTGAGACGTTTCCTCCTCACCGTTAGAAGGATTGGAAGAGCAGTTACTTCTCGGCCTGGGGCTCAGGGTCCGCCAGAGCTGTGCTCATTGCCCCCGGGCCCGAGGCTGGGGCCCTCTGTCTCCCGCGCTGAGGCTCCGTGCCGGGTCCCCTGTTGAGTGCACGCTGAGCGGGAGGCAATGAGTCCGTGTCATTTCACTCTCACAACGCATGGGCTTGGTTTCTGCCTCCAGTTTACTGATGAAGAAACCGAGGCTGGGGCCGGGGGTTTAGCTCAGTGGTTCCGCTGCCTGGCTCGCAAGCACAAGGTCCTGAGTTCGATCCCCAGGACCAAAAAAAAAAGAAACCGAGGCTTTGAGAGGTGGGGGCCGGGCCAAATTCACACAACTAGAAAGAGGTGAACCAAGGCAGAATCTGAATCACCGAGCCACTGAGAAGCAGGCTGGGGTCCGCCAACTCAGGAGTCCCTTGGGGCAGGCAGGACACAAATGAGAGATTGCTCAGACTCACCCTTTTGACAAATAGATGGGCTCACCTCCTATTTTCCTTGAAACATTTAATTGCTATTTTCTTGCGTTCTTCTATTTTCTTGAGTTTTGGGGGTTTTTTTTAAAAGAAAAATTTCCCTTCCATAACAAATGGACAGCACAAGGGAAATATGGTCATTCATACCTGGCCTCCGTGTCACACAGACAGCAGGCAAGGTGGTGACTGAGGCATGTGAGAAAGACAGGCCCTGCTTAGAGGTGGCAGCTCCTCCCAACTCCAGCCAGTGGTCCCTACGGGATCTGTTGCTGTTGGGGCCTCCGATTTTTAAAGTTCAATATTCAGAAATTCAAATTTTGATGTGAAATGGTTTTAATTAAGTAATGAATTGGTCAATTTTTGAGGTACAGCGCCTCAAGCACACTAAGCAATAGCTTTACTATTAAGCTACCCCCTCAGCCCTTTGAGTTCATTCTGAGACAGGATCTCCCTAAGCCGTGAGAACTTGGCCTTGAACTTGTGCTTCTCCTGCCTCAGCCTCCTATAGTAGCTGGGATTATAGGGCTGCGCCACTGCACCAATTTGAGTTTTGAAACAACACTGGCTGGAACTGCTTTTCTCCACACTGGGTAAGCGAAGTAAAACATCTGCAGGTGACCAAGGGTATTTCAATGTGATTATCCCATTTTTAATGTGTTCAGGGAAGGGAAAAGGATTTCCTGGTGTCTAAAACTGGCAAGTGGTAGGGGAGCTCCAGGGAGTCTTATCTGGCCCAGCCCTAGGGAAGAAAACCAGTGAAGCGAACACTCAGGCTCCAGCTTGACCCGAGTCAACCGCCACCACCAGCCGAGGACTCTGGACCTCCCGGGGAGCACAGGGCATTTGGGGTCAGAGCCTGGAGTCTCAGCCCAGGAGGGTCCTACACTGTGCCCCGGTCCAGCCGGTCCCCACTGGCAAGACAACCCCACATGGTGGCTGGAGGTGACGGACAGCGAGTGGCCCAGGGCCACCCACCATTCCCTTTTTTTCTTTCTGCCTCTAAAATGTTATTGGGAACTTTTCAAATATGGCAAGGGTGGAGGAATTGTCCAGAGAATACCTGTATACCTGCCATGCGGAGTCCACCATCCTCCTTTCCATTTCAGCAGTGCCCCGCCCAGCTGTCCACCCCTCCATTCACCCTTCAACCCACCCAGCTTTTGTTCCATTTTGTCCGGAAACATCGCAGGGTCAGTTACAGAATCAGTGCATGTCGCCCTTAAACACTTCAGGCTGTGTTTTCCTTTCCTAACTTTCAATTCACAAGTAATTCATGAAGATATTTTCTTTGTAAAACAGAAACACACAGAGGACACGAAACTGCCTTCTACTGCTCCCCTCAACTCCATCCTGTCCCTGTCGACCATTACGGCCAGCTTCAGTTTGGAGTGTATCCTTACACAGCCCTTTCTGAGCTTTCTTTCCCTTTTCTTTTTGTGTATTGAGACAGGGTCTTGCTATGTAGTTTAGGCTGGCTTTGAACTCACTATGTAGCCCAGGATGACCTCAAACTTGCAGTGATCCTTCCGCCTCAGCTTCCTGAGTGCTGCGATCACATGCATGCACCACCACACCTGGCTTTCTGAGCTTTCTATACAGCTACATTAGCTATGGAAAATAGTATGGGGCCATTTTGCAAGTTTCTTTTATTTTTTATTTTTTTATTTATTTTTTGGTACCAGGGATCGAACTTAGGACCTTGAGCTTGCGAAGCAGGCTCTGGAACCACTGAGCGAAATCCCCGGCCCTCTTTTATTTTTTAAACTCAAATAATGCTGTATGGAAAAGTTATTCTGCAGTTTGTGTTTTGTTTTGCTTTGCTGGGGATTGAACCCAGGACTTCATGCCTTCTAGCAAGTGTTCTACCCCTAACCTAAATCCTCAGCCCTTATTAAAAAAATTTTTTACATTGATATTAAGTTGCCATCTGGCCTCAAACTTGTGATCTTGCTGCCTCAGCCTCCCAAAGAGCTGGGATTATAGGTGTGGTCCTCTGCACCTGGCTGCAGTTTTTCATTCACGTCTTTCTTCCTGTGTGACCACATAGTTCTACCTTAGCCTTTTTCAGGGCTGTAGAGTATTCCGCGGTGTGGATCAATCATGGGTTTATTTACCCAGGTCCCTTCTGATGGACTTTTTAGGCTGTTTATACATGGAGTCGTGTCCTTTCCTTTTTTTTTTATCCAGACCCCAAAGAAACAGGTTTCTTTGTGTGTGTGTGTGTGTGTGTGTGTGTGTGTGTATGTGTGTGTGTGTGTGTGTGTTTCAAGTGCTCAGTGTGGAAGATCATTTAGATAAGCCCAAAGGGTGGTCTATGGCATGTTATTACAGCAAGAGCACAGGTGTCATTGGGCTCTTCCAGGACACCCCGAGGACCCTAGGGAAGTTGACACATGCGCTGTGCTGGGGACTCACCGCACTGGACCTGGTTATCGACACACTTCCAGGGGTAGCTGCCCATCTTGGGGCTGCAGCCAGCCTCCTCGGCGAGAGCATAGCAGCAGTCATGGTGGTAGCAGCACCTGTGGGTGTCACCAGGCAGATGAGTGGAGGAAGGGCCCTCTCGTGGGTCCTCCCTTGCTGGACCTCTGGGGAGTAAAGGCCTCCAGGGAGCCTGCATCCTCTGCTCGAAGCTTCAGCCCTGATGATCCCAACCCTTGCTCCGTGTGCCCTGCACACCTTCCCTGACATAGCCCTGCCACTGCCTGCTCACCAAGGCTCTGAGCTGCAGCCACCAGGGCTCCTCTGTTCCTGAGGGAGCCAGGCGCCTCAAGCCCCAATTCCCTCTGTCTGGGACCCTCTGCCCTGGTCTCAGCCCCAGCCCCAGCGGGTCATCCAGGCCGCCTCTCGCCTCCGGGGTGACAGCCTCTTTGTTACACCTGCTCCTGAAACAGGCTCCTCCCTCAGGGCAGGTTTGTAATGAGTCCTCCAGACAAACCTCATTAGCATCTGTCCTTCTGGATGACCTCCCCGCAGCGTCCCCAGGGCTCAGCCCAGGTCCTGCTCATAACCGGGCCTCAATAAACATTTACTATCCAACTATTCCCCAAGGAGCAGGCATACCTTTCATTCACTCCTCATTCATTCCCTGCGATTCTCCCCATCTGCCATCAGCCCCACACTGCTGAACCCTCAACAGGGGGTGGCAGGACAGTCAGTCAGCTCTTGCCCTGACTTCAGGAAGCCCCCAGCCTGGGGAAGGAGACAGGCAGACACATGAGTGGTGAGAAGTTTGGGGATGCAGAGTAGCAGAGGGACTCTGGGAGCCCACTGGAGGTGGCAGGCCCAAGCAGGCTTCCAGGAAGACTTCCTGGAGGCAGCGACGTCTGAGCTGCTCTGAAGGATGGGCAGACAACCAGGGAGTGGGAGCGCATGCGTGGCAGCAGGAGCTTCCACAGCTCAGGGCTAAGTCAGGACCTCTTGGGCATAAGAGCATAGTGTGTATTTCCTCCTAAGGCCATCAATGACTTCAAGGTGGCTTTTGCTAAAAACCATGATGCTTCAGTGAGCCCACAGATGCCCAAAAGGTAACTTAAAGGAGAACAAAGCTTGATCTTCCTTTTGCAAAACTCTGGGTTCAATCCCTCTCTGCTCTGTGTATAAGCATCTTAGCCATTCAGGGAGTGTCTGTCTAAAAGTTGGTGCAACAGGTTTCTTAGCTCTAAATTTACCCACCCTATCTCAGGACCGAAGGCCTGAGGACACCAGGTAGGAGATTTGCAGGGAGGGACACCCAGATCTCTATTGCCCTAAACCTATGGTCATTTCGATTCCAGCAGAGCTTCAAAGACTGAAATTGTCCCGAAAGTCACAAGCCTTCAAGCTGAACTCGGAGGACTGAGATTATGGCTGCCTAGGCCCAGCCCGCTGCAGCCATCCCATAAAACTGGTTCCTCGGTCCCGTGACTGCCCTGTCTGAACCTCTTCACCAGAGCTCACCCTCTCTCTCCAGCTTTGGCCCAAGCTGGAGTCCTTTCCTCATCTTCTCTTACCTTTCCATTCAAGCTTTTTTTTTTCCTGCAAATTTGTGCTTTAGTTTTAATTTCCATGATCACTAAGGCAAGGACCCATGCTAGCGGGTGACACAGCCTCCCACAAGGGAAGAAGCAGCCAGATTCTGCTCGGTACCATCTGCTGGCTTTGTGGAAACCGACCAGCGGCTGCACCTCACGGAGCCTCAGGGCCTGCACCTGTGAAATGGGGATGAACCCTGCACGCTTCTCTTCAAGTGGGGACACAAGGTTACATGACAAAGTCACACAGAGATTTCAGGCCACAGCTCTGCCCACAGCAGGCCCTGCTCACATGTAGCAGAGGGTAGAGGCTGAGGACGTGAATCCAGCCAGATCACCTGGGTTCAAATCCCAGATCCCTCACCTTGCACTCTGTGCAGCCCAGACAAGTAACTTAGTATCTGTGCCTCAGTCTCCTTGTCTATGGAATGGGGTTATTGTGAGGACCTGCAGGGAGCCTCAGAGCAGTTCCTAGTGCATAGTAAGTCTGGTTATCTTTATGCTGTCTTTCAGGTGGCATAAAAGCCCATGGCCAGGGTCCGAGGCAGCTGGTACCCATATGTGTCTGAGCTGGGTGTGGGAGGGACTCTTGTAATCAGTCTCAGCACTCTGAGGGGGCTAAAGCAGGAGCACTACAAATTCAAGCCCAGCATGGGCAGCTTAGCAACTTGAAAAGACCCTGTCTCAAAAAGAAAGATAAAAATGAGTGGGGATGTGGCTCAGTATGAAGGCCCTGGATTCAAAAAAATATGCGTTTGAGACAGAAACCACCCCCAGAGGGACAGAGGACCAACAACTCCCGGGCCCTTAATCTGTACCTCTTTAAAACATGACTTGAAAGTTGCTTTTGCTAAAAACAAAACAAACAAATGCAACAAAGCTAAGACACAGTGATTTTTTTTGTTGTTTGTTTGTTTTGTTTTTGGTACTGGGGATTGAACTTGGGACCTTGCGCTAGCAAGGCAGGCGCCAGAACCACTGAGCTACATCCCTAGCCCCAAGACACAGTGATTTTGAAGATGCCCAATGGGTAACTAAAAGCAGAATAAAGCTTGACCTTCATTTTGCGTGTCTCTTTTATGACTTTAAATTTGGTTCAGATCCCTGCTCAGCCCTGGATCTCGGCATGTTAACCATCCAGGGAGCGTCTGTCTAAAAACTGATACTACAAGGTTGATGAGCCCCAAATTTACATACCCTATTTCATCTCACTTCAAGACCGATGCTACCACGATACGAGAGTTTCACAGGGACTCTGAGATACCAGTGGGTGCCCAGAAGTCTTCAGCCATTGCCCTAAACCACTGTCTCCTTGGGGCCCAGCAGGGCCTCTACAAAACAACTTCCTCAAGCAGCCTCATGGCCCCTTCAAGCGACAAGGGCTTCTTGAGAGCCATTGTGGAAAACCGGAACTGAGAGAAGGATCAAGCAGACCCTTGCCCACCTCAGCCCCTCTGAAAAAACCAAGCTCATTCTTTTGTTAACGGGAGGGTGCGATCACCTCCATCAGAGCTGTGTCCCTACAGGATGACACATAGCATAGCTTGCTGGGATCTTTCCCCGGCCAAAGCCCAATTTCAGCTTTGCCTATTTCCTTATGGCTCTAACTACTCCAGGGGTTGGGTGGGGCTTCTAGCCTGGGGCCAAGTATACACTCACCAGTCGATGCTGTCCCGGGGCTGCCCATGGCCTCCCAGGCCACAGAAACAGCCATACTGCATATAGACTATGGGAGGTCGGGGTCCCACACAAGTCACAGTGTCTGCCAGCTCCTTTATCCCACGTGGGAACACATGTGACCTTCTGGATGCTGGAGGATAAACAAAAGTTAGAGCCTGCAGGCCAGGACTTCCCTGGCCCTGGGGAAGGGCAGTAGCCTGAGAAGGGGCAGGTATTACAGCCTGACTGGGTTCAAATCTCACTTCCTAACTGTGTGCCCTTGGACAAATTATGAACCTCTCTGTGCCTCAGTCTCCTTGTTTATGGAACGGAGGATAAGGCAACCATAGCTCACAGAATAAAGGAGATAGTGCACACGAGCTCCTGGCACAGAACAAGCTCTGGCTGTTACACTTAACTATCCTCCAGGCAGGGAAAATAAGCCCCACAGCACACGGCATGTGCAATTACATCACTGGGCCTTTGCACCTGCTCTGCAATCCCTTGCTTCGTCAAGTCTAGACCCAGGCAGACTGCAAATCATGCATCAAGTGTTTGCCTAGCTGCCTGGGCCGGGCACCCGGGCATCAGAGCTGCATAGTGTTCCCATCGTTAAGGCAGGCGCCTCCGGGGAATCCCTAGTCCCTGGGCCCCGTCCCTCTCCCCCACACTCTGGCTCAGGGTCCCTGCCCAAGAACAGCTTCCTCCCAGTCAGGGAGGGCCCCAGCCTGGGCCCACCATCTCTCTGGCTCTTGGCACAGCTCTGACACAGTAGTACCTAGTACATACGACTGGGACTCCTGCAGCTGACAAGGGAGAAGGAGGAGGCTCCACAGCCCACAAGCTCCTGAGCTGAGGCTCCAACCCAGGCTTCTAAATCACAGACCAGGGCTGCTTCCTTCTTCCTTGCCCAGTAACAGTCCGGAGGGAGGGGGCCTGCTGGGTATCAGGGCCAAGAGGCATTAGCAGTAGACAAGATGCATGCCCAGAAATAGGCCTCCTGCTGCTCCAGGGACTGAGGACAGTAGAGGTCCGTGCCTGGCATCGGCCATGACGTCTCTTTCATACCCCCTCCCCAACCTCTTTTTGAGGTACTAGGGGTTGAAGCCAGAGCCTTTGTACTGAGCTACATCCCCAACACTTTTTATTTTTTAAGTTTGCGATATGGTCTTGCTAAGTCATTAAATTGCCCAGGTTGGGTTCAAACTTGTGATCCTCCTGCCTCAGCCTTCCAGAGTGCTGGGATCACAGGTGAGCAACCGCCATGACTGGCTCTTTCATCTGTCTTTTTTTTGGTACTGGGGATCGAACTTGGGTCCTTGCGCTTGCACAGCAGGCGGTGAAACCACTGAGCTAAATCCCTGGCCCTGTCTTTTGGTTAGAACAGGTTTTCTTTTCTTTCTTTTTTTTGGTACTGGGTATCGAACTCAGGACCTTGCGCTTTCGAGGCAGGCATGGCGCCACTGAGCTAAATCCCCGGCTGGAGAACAGGTTTTCTTGAGGAGCCTGAAACAAATTTAAATCCAATTGTTTTTTTCTCTGTGGAAAAAGTACCATATTAGTATGTGGGGGGGCGGGGGAGGTTATAGATGTGTCAAGAAGAAAGTGTAAAAGGAGTTTAGGGTTCAAAACTCCACCTTCCTCTGTCCAGGACTGGTCCTCACTCTCACAGCAGCCCACATATCTGCCTCAAACCTTCCATAGCTCCCATGGGCTGTGGGCACAGCTCCAAGGCCCTGCTGCACCCCAGCACACAGTGAGGGGTCACCCTTGCCCCTCCAGCATCCTCTCTCCTACAGTGGGAATCACGCACTGTCCTCACAGTTACCCGTGTTATACATGAGACCTCTGTGTTATACCTGGGCGGCTCTGGCCTGCTTGCTAAGGTCTGCGACCTCTGGATCCCCAGGGCCCCATGGAACACACCCGCCTAGGCACACCGAGTAGGGTTCCAACACCATACTGTAACACTGTCTGCCTGCAGTTGTCCTCAACCCTGACCTGACTGCCTCTGGGGTCAGGAACAGCCGGGCTGGTGGCGGGGCACAGCGTGAACACCCATGCTGGGTTTGGAACCAAAGAAAACACTCCCTTTGTGCCAACATAGGCGGATGGGCCAGGCCGGGTCTGTTTGCTGTCTGCCCCGGACAGCCTCCCAGGGCACCCGCTGGCCTAGGGCTGCAGGCTTCTGCACCTGGGTTGTCCAGTGAGTGTCTGAATTTGCCTTGGGGCTGTCCCAGTGTCCCTGCTTGTCCACACATGTGCTCCCCCGGGAGCATCTTTGTTGTATCTGCGGCATGGATCCATGTACCGGCCACCTGAGAGCCAGGGGAGCCCGGGGCTGGTCCTGTGCCTGGCGTCTCCGTGCTTGAGGTGCCTGCATATTCCCTGACTGTATCTGTGCACCCCAGGAATGAGCAGTCGCCTTGGGGACCTCTCTGGGGTGACCCCCAGGGAGACGTCGAGAGGATACGTTTTTGCTCAGCTGCTTCTGCCAACCCCCGAGGTCTGCCTGGTGGTTCTACTGAGATTCCACAGAATGGGAGCCGGAGGGCCTGAGGAGTGCACGGGGCTCTGGGCTGCGGGAGAGGGTTACAAGAGAGAGGGGAGGCTGGTGAGCGGGAGTCCCCGTGGAGGGGCCGATGGCAGGGCTTCGGGGTCCCCAGAGAGGGCCGCTGGGAGCCGGGTCGGTACTCACTCGCAACGGGTACCGGTCCAGACCCCAGCAGCAGCAGCAGCAGCAGGAAGAGCAGCAGCATTCTGGACGCCTCCGGACGTAGCGGACCCATCGCAGGGCGGCAGGCGTGGAGCGGTCTGGCCCGCCAGTTTGCCAGTTTAACCCCGGAGCTGGCCGACCCTCGCCTCGGTTCCGCCCCGGCCTCACCTTCCTGCAGCTGCCCTAGCCGGGCGGAGCCAGCGCGGGGGCGGGAACCTGAGGCCTCCCGAGCTTCCTCCCCACCTCTGCACCTTAGTCGCCTGTGGGCTCCACAGGCCAGGGCGGGCGCTGCGGGCAGGGAGGGATACCTCCGTGGAGACACTGGGCAAAAAGGGGCTCTGCTGAGGGGGCTCTGCCCACGTGGGCCTTGGGAGGAGGGAGAGGCGTGGGGGAGGGACATTGCTGAATTTAGCCCCTCACCCCCTGGGTTGTACTGAGTCAATCCAGGGCCTTCCACTGAGCTACATCCCCGCACCCTCCCGCCTTTTGACATTTCATTTTAATTTACAATTTTGAGGCAGGATCTCACTAAATTGCCAAATTGATTGTGATCCTCCTACCTCAGCCTCTAGAGTGCTGGGATTACAGGCTCGTTCCACCGTGCCTGGCCTTAACCTTTTACAACGTAGAGAACTGTGTGCTCCTCTTGTCCCTTAAAATCACTACTCTCCAATCGCCCCGCTACCACCACCACAGCAGTAGGGAAACAGGGGCAAAGATGAGCCCAGGTCCCACACAGTTCAGGTAAAAGACAGGACTGGCACGGGCGAGGCCAGGGGTGACAGCTGCATCATCCTACGCGTTCTGCCTCAGCTTCCTCACCTGCGCGAGGTGCACAGTGCCTCCTCCAAGGACCCGTGGGAGCTGGGGAAGGTGCACACAAAAGGTGCTCAATACCGAAAAGAAATGACAATCGTTCGCTGTATCTGCGGGCTTTCATCGCTGATGCCAGCACTACCCGATTAGTCAACAATTTCTGACGCTTTCGACTCATCGTAACCTAGGAGTAGAATCCAGGCGCTACCTCATACCTCCACCGTCCAATGGGAGAAAGGGTGACAATCCCCTGAACCAGGTGTGATCTTGCCACAACCTCAGCCCCTCAGGCCCCCCCTTACTCAGGGAGCACAGAGGACTGGTCAAGCTAAGAGCCAAGACATAGGGAAACTGAGATACAAACTAATTTCCATTTGATACCGAGCCTGTCTCTGCCTCTTCAATGGCATCCAAGGCTTGGGGCCCTTGGCCGGACCACTCTGGGGTAGCGGCCTCCCCACTGGAGTGTGAGCTCTTCTTAGCCCCCTGCAGGTGATCCCTGCAGATAGCTGAGGGCACTGGCCTACCCTGGCCCTGGAATGGAAGTGGGATGGGAGAGCAAGGGAGCACACAGGGCAGATGAACAAGCTAGACTCAGCACGGGGCAGAAAGCAGTAAAGGTGGAGAACAGAGAGCTGATCCCGAGGCCTCATTCAGTTCCCCAGTTATTCCACCACTTTGGCCCCAGAATGGACCGGTGATTTCCTTAGGACCAGGTCCTCTGCTGGACTCAGCAGGGGACCAGGCCCAGTGCCCGCCTCAAGGAGGTCTTGGTGGGCTGGAGGGACAGACGTGAAAACGTGGCTGGACATGGAGCTGTGGGCCACAAGAGTGGAGACCTCATGGCCTCAGCTTGAATGTCCCGCAAGCCCTGAGGGCAAAGCCTGGGGCTGGGATTCTGGGACAGGTGGGTCATTGGGGAAACATATCTAGGAACCAGAGGGAGAATCAAGAGATTGAAATAGAAGAGAATAAAGCTAGACAAAGTGGGTAATGGAGATGACCATGCTGATGCCAACTCAGTCTTAATCCCAGTAGGATCTTCTACGGATTCTCTGGGATTATCTGCTCATATAGGGGGGAGAAATGGGAAAGGCACAAATTCCTAGGCTCCTGTCTCCCCCTGGAAGGAGGGGCCAGAAGTGAGAGGTTCATGACTTGGTGGCCTGTTTGCAAGAGAACCTGGCTGGAATGGGAGCTGAGGTCCTGCAGCGAGAAGTGACCTTCAAACCCCAGCCACAGTAACACCATCTCCTTGTGCAACACCCGCCTCACCACTTGCCCAGGAGCTGAGACTGGGTACCAGACTGCAGCCTAACAAGGGCATTTGCCATTTCTGTCATTGCAGGAAGCAAGCAGTGGGCTTCCTGGAAAGGACTGGCTGGGAGTGGAGTATACACAAAACTTCCCCCACAGCACCTTCGTGCTCTTGGTCCCACTTTTGCTGCTTTAATCCATGCCCTATAGACCAGTAGCCTCACGCAGGGGGTTGGCAACTTGCATGATGTTTCAGAAAGCAAGCTGTCCACGGCTCTGGATGAGCCCCAATCAACTCAGCGACCTGCCAAGCTGCACTGCTCCCAGCCAGTCTCTAGTCTGTCGCTCCCCTTGCATTTCAGTGGGAGGTATTTTTATGTCTGTCAGGGAAATTCGCCTAACAGTGCCAGAGGATGTGAGTCAGGGACAGAAACTGTCCTACCTATCCCAGCCAGGTCAGCAGGACAGAAGAGAAAACTCTCCAGCCCAGATGCGTGAGCTGAACTCTCTCGAGCGGAAGGGAAACGGTGAGAAATGGAGGGAAGCACACTAGGCAGCGGAACCCGCCAAGGCAAAGGCCAGGAGGGGAGGGAGGATGGCAGGAGTGGGGACCGCGGGATGCTGAGGTGTGGGAGCCAGCAGAGGGAGCACAGGCTCCACCTTGTGGGCAGTCTTGGCATAAAGATCCAACCAGGAAATAAAATGTTCTCAGGTTTGAGTCAGATGGAAGAAAATATTCTTTGACTATGAAGACTGGTTAGGGGGAGAGGGAGAAGAAACTTTTCAACCATGTTACATGTGGTGGAACACACATGTACTCCCAGCTCTTTAGGCATGTGTGGCAGAAGGATGGCAAGTTATAGGACAGCCTGGGCAACGGAGTGACCTAGACCCTATCACAAAATTAAAAGGGCTGGGATGTAGCTCAATGTTAGAAGGCTCCTAGGTTCTGTTATACACTTGATCTTAGCCAAAAGGCCGAGAAGCGATCCTAGCTTCTGTTATAGACGAGCGAGTTGGAACTATACAGATGTGCCACACTCTGTGCCAGATTTGAGTCCATTTGATTAAAGCTGGTGTCTGAGAGGGGGCTAGTGCCTGGAAATAACTCTGGGAAGTGGGAAGCAGTTTGATTTCTCCTTTTAAACCATGCTTTCAGTTGGGGAGGGCTTGGGGGGAGAGCAAGTGGAATTTTACAGAAGCAGAACCATGCCAGGTTAGTGGGGGCAAGAGGAAGTTTCACACACACTAGGTGAGCTACAGAACATCCTGCAACTGCAGCAAGTTTACTGCCAAGCAGGATGTGGGGGCTTTGGGTGCTTTGTCCAAGTACAAGCACACAATGGTGGTAATGCTCAAGACGGAGTCGGGTTGGCTATCACAGTTCAATCCCCAGTATGACAAAAAAGAAAAAATATAAAGCTTCCTGATGACTGGGTAGCATGTATGTGTTGCCACCCACAATATTTGCTGGCCCTCTAGTAGACAGGATTCTTCTTCCCCACTTGTCATACAGGGTGTCCTTTGGGTCTAAGTTTGAAATGTAGGGTGGAAGAGAAGAAACATTCACAGCCACAAATGGCTGGGCATATCTTCTTTTCTGCCACAGGACAGCTGATGTCCTCAGTGCAGGCAAAGTCATTATCCTAACTGGTACATTAGAAGAACTTCTGCTATTAGAGGAAAAATTTCCTGGGTCAAAGGTCACTCACTGTGGACTTCCTCCAAATCTCAGAGAGTAGGACAGGTCAGGGGATTAGGATGGAGTCTGTGTCCTAGGCAGACCTTGGTTAAGTTCCGGCCACAACCTGAGAGGCCTTGGGCAGTTCACATCTTCCCTGTGTGACTGAGCCTCTCAATTGTAATTGTGTTATTGGGGCAGTAAAGCAAATGAGAGAACTCAGGTACAGAATTTAGCTCCAGGCACAGTAGCGGGTCCTCAGAGTGGGTCCTTGATACATTTCCCCTCATGTTATCTACAGTTCCGGCTTGTTAGGCTAGGGTCATTCACTGATGTGAGCTTTCTGGTTATAGGAGAGGAGACCTAGGCTCTGGGTCCTGGTCACCCTGATGGGACTCAGTGCCTGGCCTGAATCACAGTGAATGCCCAGTGGCATGGGGGAAAATCAAGGCACTGGGAAGTGGGGAAAATTCTGGAGGTCCCCTTCCTGCAGAGAAAGCTGGCCTGTCACCCTGAAGTCACCTTCTTCAGTGACAGGCCAGAGGCTGGACCGATGAGGGAACTTGGGCATTTTTACATGCAATGAGGCCTGCTGAGAGCTCCCCCAGGGAGCTCATAGTCTCCCCAGCCCTTCTGCTGCCGTAGCCCCTGTCACCAGGGCCCCTCATAATCTCTGCTTATTTTCTGGACCACTCCCCCAGATCCCCTGCCCCTGGCCTCCTTGCTCTTTCTTCCCTCTCTGCTCTGATCTCTCTCCCTGGGGCTCTTTTCTCCCTTCGCTTCCCGCCTTCCATACAGAGATCAAACTCAGGACCTTGCACTTGTGAGGCAGGCACGGTTACGCTGAGCTAAATCTCTGGCCCTTTGTTTTTCTTTGTCATTCTCTGAAACAGACTCAGCAGCTCTCTCTTCACAGCTCTTCATCACTCCCTGTTTCTCCTGCATCTTCCTATCTGTCTGCCATGGCTGCTCCATCTCTCCTGTTCATTCTGCCCCACTGGCTCCTGTTCTCATGTGCTGTCCCCGGTAACTCTCTGCAGGCTCTGCCTGTTTCACTCTACCTCTCGCTGTGTCCTCGCTCTCCATGACTTTCTTTCTGTCTGGGCTCCCCTTCCTCTCTTCTGTTTCCCTTGTTTCCACTTTCTACCCCCATCTCTGCCTCTTATGTGGATAAACCCCCCTGTCCCCAGGGTTCCTACACCAGTCTAGAGCTAGACAAAGGAGCACAGGGTTAGAACCTCCCTGGCTGCCTCCCCTTCTGTCCCGTGGGGCGCAGGCAGCCCAAGGCCCATCAGGATCTGGGTCAGAGAGGCTGCTCCTGCACCCATTACTGCGCTCTGCAGATGCCCACCCTGTCCCGGAGCACTGTGGGGACACCCAGGCCTTGACCCCAGAGCTTCTGATGGGCTGACCGCCTCCCCAGAT